GCATTGAATGAGTTGTTTGTTTTTATCACAGTTAAAGCTCAGAGAATATGGGAGAACCCATACAGTCCCTATTCAGCTATTCACATAAAAAATTATGAATGCTGCTGACTTTCCTTTTATGAATTTTTTTTCTGCCCTGAAGGATAAGTATGTGGGAGTCACGAGTTCTTACTTGTTCCAGGTCTTTTGGAACAATTACTGAGAGGACAAGATCAGGCTCCGGAAACAGCCTGATCACACCAATTGGCAACGGATTTAGTCCATTATTTCAGAATGTGCTCAGCCAGCCAGGAGAGCAGATCCAGTGGCCATCTGAGAAAGGTCAGCCGGGCCCCACCAAAAAATGTTCTGTAAAGACAAAGCCAGGCTCAGGATTCATGTGGAAATTGTTAAACTTGCTCCATGCTAGACAACTCAGAGACTGCCTGCAGGAAAGCACTGAGTCAATGCCATATCTTCCAAGCTCAGCTAAATTATTCAGTCTGTATTTGGATTGACCAGGTTCTCTACTACCTGCTAAGGGAAGGGCAGTTTCCTCCCATCTGAATAAGTTCTTCTCAAAGCAAGGGGTGTGTGGAGCTGTTCAATCCACAAACATATTTCTACAATATACATACAAATATACATACATATACATAAGCAAACAGTACTGACACAAGAAAAAAACCAACTTCAACTTCTCTTCTGAGATTAACCATGTGCCTGCCCTTTGGGTCAAAGAGGAAAAAAGCTGGTTTTGTGTTTTAAGTCCCTGAAAAGTCAATGAGGTCTACAGTAGTCCTTCTTTTGCTATACACTTTACACTTTTACTCTTTTTTTTTTTCCCTTCCAAACAAGATGTGTTTTTTCTGGACTTATCAAAAGCTTCAAGAATACAATCAGAAAAACATTAAGGCTAGGCACCAGTGGCTCACACCTATAATCCTAGCTACTTGGGAGGTTGAAAGTGGGAGGATTGAGATTCAAGGCCAACCCTGGCAAAGAGTTCACAAGACCACATCTCCAAAATAACCAGATTATTGGAGGTGTGGCTCAAATAATAATGTGGCCTGAGTTCAAACGGGAATCCCACAAAAAAAAAAAAGAAATTACATTAATACAAATTTCTTCAGCATTAAATAGGAAAATTAGTTTTCCATTTTAAATTTCATTTCTTTTTTTAATATTTTAATGAGAACTTAATTCTAAAGTGTGAATTTTTACAATGCTTTCACTTCTATTTTGGAGAGGCAACTATGATATCACTATTTGTGATTATCAGGACACTCCTTTTCCTAAAAAGCTGTTATTATACTTGGAATGTCTAATGTCGGCAATCTTAGGATTCTTACCTCCCAAAAAACTTCCCATCCTCTACTCACAAGAAACTAACTGTCATTCGTACGCCCTGTGAGAAAATAAATAACAAGCATGGTCTTTCATAAAACACCTTTAAACATGTATTTCCATAAAATAAAGTGAGATAACTTTATTGCAGAACTTGTCTACAATTGAAGAGTAGATCTAAAAGTCCAGTTGGGTCAGGGGACATTTTACTCAGGGGGCTAACCAAGGGACATTTTGGTCAGGTTAAGAGGACCCAATGAGTTTGGGTTTTTTAAAATGGTGTGGAAATCATACCCATTCTTCCCTTTTTCATTATATAACATTAGGGCTTCTCAGTGTTTTAACATTGCCTGGGAGGTGAATCCTGTTCATGGTTCACCCCTAGTAGCAACGCCCACAGTCATCTATCCTACACAAAGTCAATGTGTTGCCAGCCGACCCTCACACCCGGGTCCATCCCAGCTTCACAGAGCTGGCAAGTGTAAAAAACTTCAACTAGAGAAAAACATAAAAAATATGACATAAACATTTCCTTTCAGGACAGCAGAAAGGGGTGGGAACCTCTAATATGTTCCAAAAAGTAAAGATGTTAAAAGTAAAGATGCTCTTACAGCAACTAGAACTGCAAATAGCCCAGCATTTCTAAGCCATTCTAGAGAAACCCGTCAGATCATCCCAAATGAAAGGAAGTGCTTACCTTACTGAAATGAGAAGTGGTTCTGTCTTCACCTGCTTATGACATCAAGGTCCTAACTCTGAACATCTTACAGCCTGATGTTCAAGTTCCAGCTTTTGTGTGTCTGAGATATTCAGCTTCCCAGAGCAAAATTAGACACTCAAGGCAATGTGGTCTGAATCCAACTTTTAAATATATCCTTCATGATATATGACAATGGCTGTGGTAGGCAACTTGATAAATAATATGAATTAAATGTTGGGGAAAAGGAACATTGCAAGGTTAGGTGGCTTTACGTTTTCTGGTGAATAAGCCCCTTAAAGTTCTATTGATCAGTTGGATAATGTTCTCATTTTTCAGCACAAAGTGACTTCTCTAGATCCCAGAAGTTTTCTAAAACTAAGTACACACTGCCTCCACCAAATATTCCTGAAACTTTTCTATAATCTTTATTTTCTTCATTAAGGGCCTAACTTCACTATAGCTATTGTGCTTGCTCAGCCAAGGAGTCTCCTGCTCCTGAATGTGTAACTAACTGGGATGATTTTCCATCTGCTTTTAAAAAACACAAATACAATGAACTCGAGCCTCATAGCCAGCACTGCCAGGCACTTCCTGTCCACGCAAAGCCTGACCCACCTCAAAGAGAATCAAACCTGAGGCTGGTATGCCTCCATCCCAATCTAGCTCCCAAGTTCTCATCCTCCCAGCAGTGGTTCCCAGGAGGGGTCCCTACAGCAGCATTACTTGGGAATCTTAGAATTATACACTCTTGGGCCCTAGCCCAGACCTTCTAAATTAGAACCTCTGGGGTGGGGCCTGGTTCCCAGGTGAATGAACCCCTTAAGTTTGCAAGCCACTGTCATTCTGTAACAGCTATCAAATCAGGTTTGTATCCCCAGAGCCTGCAGGGGGCACTAAAAGCCAACTGGAAGAACAGAAGGAAGGAAGCTTAAGTTTCAACTACAACAGAAACCCCTCCACATACACACACTGACTGACCACACAGTGCTATTAGCTCCTTAACAGTCACTCAGAATCCCATCCCCAATGTGTTAAAAGCTGACAGTACATCTCAGTTTTGAACAGGAAGAGGCTGAAATTCTTCTCACCACCCTGCAGTAGCTATATCAAAATTTACTTCAGGGATGTATTCAACGGTTCATTCTTTTGAGGGTTTCTGTGTTTAATATAATTACGATACAAATGCTTTAAGAATGAAGCTGCCAATACTAATTAAACAAAATTAGATATTCATATTATCATCAGCTATCGTGTATATCTGAATAACAATGCACTTGATTCCAAAAGTATGCTAAAAGTTCCTACTTTGCAAATCTAGTTGTAGTGATGTGACAAAAGTAAGGATTTTTTTCTAATGAAAAGCAGGTCTACAGGTAGCCCTTTTCTAGGCTCTGTCAAAGCCCTGTAAAAATTAGCTAACTGCTTTACCATCCAAACACCTTTAGTGAGCATGTAGAGGAACAGGAACTCTCATTCACGGCTGGCAGGTGGTCAGTCGGTATAACCACTTTGGAAAACCATTTTGCAGTGACTACTAAAGCTAAGTATACAAGCACCTGGGATCAGCCATTCCACTTCAGGATATATACATCCTAGAGAAATAGGTGCTAACATCCATAGTGACAAACTGGAAACGATCCATACTCCAACTTCAGTAGAGGAAATAAATAGTATGGATATTCACACATTGAACTAGAAGCAGAAATGAAGAAGCCAGCCAATCAAACCACTGCTACACACAACATGGATGAATTTGACAGACATGATGTTGAGTGAAAAGAAGCCAGATACAAAGGGGCATACTTGGTATCCAAATAGGCCAAACGTATCTCTGGTGACAAAAGTCAGCACAGAGGTAACTGGGGCTACCTAGAGGAGGCAGGAGGAGTTGCTGGGAAGTTCTACCTCTTGACATGACATATGAAAAGTTGGGTGAGTTGCACCTAAAATCTGTACATTTTATTGCATGTGTAACTCTTCACAAAAGAGGAGGGGAGTTACACATCCATGCAAAAAGCATTCTTGACAGTCTGTTGTGCAACAATTTCCAATGCACAACTATAAAAATTTAGATTACTGGGCAACTGTATTATACTGGAGTATAGTTACTGGAAAAACATCGTGTTTGCTGAGCTAAATCTCAAAATTAAATACAGTGAAGAAGATATTTTCCTTCCTTCCCATGTTGTACCATCAAATGTACCATCTATAAAACAGCCAAACACTTCTGAGCTCAAACTTCTTTTACTCTGCTACTTAGTAAGTCCCATTGTCCCACGCCCCTCGCATGACCAGAATGGCTGCCCACCATACACAGGGAGGCTGAAAGACCTGGCTCTGAGATTCCTGTGGGCATTACCCTCTAGAATTGCTTTGAACCACTCTTTGCCTAACCGCGACCCCAGCTCCGATTCCCTACTGCCGGGCCATCCCAGGCCTGTCCAGGGCAGGAGCCCTGTTTCCGCAACGCAGTCTCGTAGGCCTCCCCAGGGACCACGGGATCCCTGGTTCCGAACCAGTAAAATCTCAGGCGCTGGCCCGGCTGCCAGTAGAAGGCGGGGGCGAGACACCAATTATCAGCAAGGTCGCCACCTCGGGTGTCCCCAGCGCACCCTCCGCAAGCGGGGGCGGCTCGGTCCCGCCAATCCGATCCCAAGGCTATCAGAATGGGTCCTTTCTGCGCTTCCGGGGTTGAAAGCCGCGGCGGGCTAGGACATGTGACCGAGCACACGGAGCAGGGCACCGGGACAGCATTCGGCGGTGCGCCCTGGGCGGGGCGGGGGAGCCGCAGAGGCGCGGCGTGGCGCGCGCGGGAGAGAGCGGCGCGTACGCGGGCTGCGGCCTTCTCAGTGGGAGCCCGCCAGGTGGCCGGCGGTCCGCAGCCTGCGCGCTCCCGCCTCGGCCCCACGCGCTCCCGGCCGGGCCCCGCGTGCCTCCGCCCCCGCGCAGGCGGGCGGACAGGCGGCGCGTTTACCTGGAAGCAGGAACACGTGCTGCCGCACGCGGGCCGGATCCCCACAGTCTACGCCCGCGGCCATGCTACCCGCCTCCTCCTCCTCCTCCAGAGCCCGGCAGCCACAGGCCTCAGCCGCGCGCCCTGCGGAAAATGGCGGGAGGAGGGGCTGTTCCGGGTGGCGCGGCGCGCTGGGGGACTGGCAGAGCCAGGGAGGCGGCTCGCGGGGCGAGCTTGGTTTCGCTTCCGGAACCCGCCTTCGCTCGAGTTACGTTTTTAAATTTAGCGCCAGGCACAGGGCGCCCAAATAGTCGGCGACCTGCCGCCTCTCCCCCGCGTTTCCCCGCCGGTGGTAGGTGCTCACCGCGCGCCCCAGGGCACAGAGTGACGCGGCGGCGCGCGGGGCGGCGACCTGGGGACACGGCGGCGGCGGGCGGCGGCGCCTTGGCCCGGACTTGTGTCTTAACACTGAGGGGCAGTCGTGCCTCGGGCCCTGGCTTGTAGGGCCAGGAGGGCAGATGACGCCCACCGCACTCCGAGGACCGGGTACTCGCCAGAAGCTAATGCACTTTAAGGACAATAGCTGTCACACCCCAATCCTAAAGTAACTGAGGCGCAGCCCCTATTCCTCATGACTGTGTGTTGATCATCAGTTGTTTCCGCGTTGGAGTTAATTTCGGTAGGTTGTGATTTATTTTGCATGCAAGCATTAGGCCTGGCCCTCATCACCAAAAAAGTGGTGCACAGTTGGGACTTGTAATATAAATTTGTTTGCTGAACTCTGATGAGTTAACAAGGCATTTTAAAAGTGATCTTTAAAAGTTAGGGTCATGGAATTTGGGAAGTTCAAACTTTAAAAAATAAAAATTTAACTGAAATATTAATGGTTCATTCATACTCTTTTTTAAAAAATATTTCTTTATACTTCAAACGAAAGTATATCTACCTCCATCTCAGCTCCCCAATCCTCAGAGACAATTAATGATAATATTTCTTGTCTGTTTTTCTAGATTTTTTTCCCATGCAAATAAAAATAGGAGAACAATATATGTAACTCTTAAGCTCTTTGCTTTTCTTGTTGAATCTTTAAATTTTGCAACTCTCAGTCTATAGTTTAAGTGAATAGTTTAATTTTAGTAGATTAACTGTTTTCCCACGGGGTAATGTAAGGGAAGTCCGAGGCCTGGAGCCTACCCAGGGTGCCACTCCTCTCCAAAAAGCAGATAAAAGTAATGATGAAAAGGCAAGACAGGAGTTTAGTCAATATAGCCATTTGGGGAAGACAAATAGAAAGCATTTCAGCCTATCTTCTGGTACTGACATAAGCTTTAGGTTTAAATAGAGAAAGAAGTGTACGTAATTAAGCAGTCTTGGTTGAACTGTGGTCTGGTTGATGATTATGACACTTCTCATAAGATGATTGCTTCTGATTGGAATATGACCTCTTCAGGGGGTGATCAGTATACAGGGCTCTACTGCTCCTGGAATCTAGGTGACTGTAGGTTTAGAACAATGACTGGAGACTTTGCAAGTGCCTCCTTGAGCGTCTGGAACAGTACACTGTAAAAGATGACTATAAGATGCCTCAGTTACTCTTATCTTTGTGCCTTCAGCCTTGAAGGGGTTTGAGATAGGTTAGTTATCTGGTTTTTAGACAGACACTCCTTGAGAGAGTAATATGCTTATGTGCAGAGTTAAGCAGGAGTTTGACCCAAAGTTTTAAGGGAAAGGAAACCAAGCAAAATGAAACCTGGAATGCCAGGCTTTTATTCTGCTTTTAGTTAACTTGTGGGCCAAGTGAGGAGTAAGTCAGTGCTTTTCAACAAAAAGCAGTTTCTAAGTACCTATTCTAGTGAGATAAATGCAGCTGAAATTGACGACAGCACCCAGGAATAGAAAGGAGGCCTCTGCCAATTCTGGGGCTGACAGCAGATTGGTATTGCTCTGACCTTCCCCCTTTCCCACTACTGTTCTGTAAGAAAAACTATGGTATACATCTCAAATCCTTAGTAACCATAGTAGTTATTAACAGCTATAAGGAAAACATCACCCACAGTTCCCTTGTTCATTTTTCTCTGATTCTTTCCGTTCTCTGACTATATGAATATGTATTTTTAGGTGGTTGTTTCCATAGTACAGACAATTTTGTCTGCTTTTCTTAATGTTATCAACATATTTCCCCATTGTGTCCTGAACTATCATTGTTAATGGAGGCATGTTACTTCACATTGCTCATCTACCAGGGTTATTTAACCGTTCCTTAGCTGCAATATTTAGGTTATTCTAAACTACTACTATAAATAATGTTACAGGGTATACTATATATGAACTAGGCAGTGGTTCAAAGCAGCAAATTAGATGTACATATAGCTACATGGTGCTTTATATTGAAAAAAAATTTAGATGCAGGAAATGATTAACCTATGAAGATTAATAAAAGACACATAAAATAACACTGTATATTTTATAAGGATGGATGCATATTTAAGTCCATGTCTCAAGCATATAAAAGTGGGTGTCTTTAAAATGGAGGGAATGAGATAACAAATGAGTAAGTAATTAAGGGCAGGAAAATCAAGTAAGAGAAGGGCCAGGCTCTTGTCGGCCACAGTCACTGTGTCCCGTGAATGAGGGTGCAGTACATTCTGTGCCCCTTATCTAAACAGTTTCCTTTATCCCTTGCTGTGGTTTGATTGTATCCCACCAAAAAAGCATGTGTTGAACACTTAATCCCAGGCAACAGTGTTGGGAGGTGGGGCTGAAAAGGAGGTGTTTAGGTCATGAGGTCTCAAAGGCCCTCCCTCCCCAGATGCTGACCCCTTTATCTTGGACTTCCTAGCCTCCAGAATTGTGAACCAAATAAATTTCATTATAAATTACCCAGTCTCAGGTATTCTGTTATAGCAGCACAAAATGACACCACCACCCCTTTTAGTACACATTATTTAAGTATCTTCTTGAAAGGGGAACTGATAGTAGTGTGGAGACTGACTCTAGATCCATGTTATCTGCAAGGCAATGTCCAAGGTTGATCCATGAGATCTGGCCCTTGCTAGAGCCTCTAACCATATCCATATCTTTCCCTTTCCCTTTCTTCTCTCCCTTTTCTTCCCTTCCCTTTCCACTTCTCTGTCTCCTTCCCCTTCTCCTCCTCCTTCCCCCCCAACTCATCATCCACAATCTGAGCACAAGAAGAACTGCCTGTATTTCTGTCTTGTTCTGTACTTGGCATTGTGGTGTCCCCAAATCTCAGGGCCCTCCTCTCCCTTCTGGGGACTTCACCACCAGAACAACTTTTACTTATCTGTCAGATCTCTCCTATGAATGCCTTCTCCATAACTCTTCTCCCCACATTCTATTGCCCACCCCAAGCATAAGTGAGACGTCTCCACTGAACTCATAAGTGGAGACAGTCAATTCACTGAGGGAAGGACAGCATTTTAGTAACTCACCGCCACGGTTCCTCAAAAACATAACAGACTCACTGAGTACTAACTATACTGAGCACTAATTGTGCCAAACACTGTACTAGTGGTTAACTTGGATCATCTCTTTCAGCCCTCCATTAGAGGTTGCCCATATTTTACATAGGAAGAAGGTAGAGTTCAGAGAGATCCATGATTATGATGGCACAACCAGCCAGTGGCTGAGCAGGAATTCCAACCTTGACCCTAGGACTCCAGAGATTGGACTCATAACCTCCCTTCTTCCCTCTCTGATGTCCCAATATCTAAGACAAAGATGTTTGGGCACATAACATGTGATGGGCAAATAGTTTTTATGTGACTAGATAGGCAGTCATGGTAACAGTCAATGACTTATGGATTCCAGAACCTTATAAATCACAACAAACTGCTTACATGCAGTGTATGATAAAATATTTCATAAACTAATTTGTATACTAGTCTGTGCAAGTCACATTAACATGCAAAGAGACAAGAGGTGTTCTCCAGAGACAAAGAGGGAAGCAGCAATCTTAACACCTCTGGGTAGATAATCATTGAGACTCTTCTAAATGCTAGGAAAAATAGATGTTAACTTTCTAGGGAAAAAAAAAAGTGAGGAGAAGGAAACAGTTTAGTGTCAAAAGAACTCTAGCAATGCTTACCGGTGATCCGAGCAGAGAGACTGGACCTGAACTAGTAGAAGAATTTTTTGTCTTATCAATTGTTAAAAACTTAACGACAATGCTTGCTTCTACGTAAAAATAAAAGCACATCCTTGTTATCCTATTTATCACAGGAAAAGGTTGTTGTCTTGTTTCTGTCTTCTTACTGAATGCTCATCTAGTGACAATTAGAGAAAGCAACGTGTTCCTCAATCATGACATGGAGAAAGGAATCAGCACTAAAAGGGCCAACTGCTTGGCAAGGGGACCAGACCTGCGAGTAGTATGAAGCTGTTCTTCCTCTTTCTGTTCTCTTTTATTATCCAACCCAATCTAAAGTTGAGTGGTGTTTGTTGCCAAAGGGGAAGTGTATCACATAGGCACATAAATTTAGGAGTCTGTCAGTTACAGAATAAGGATGACTGGAGCTATTGAGAAAAAGACAAAGATGTCAGAAGCAGGCCTGGCCCTCACAGGTAGACATTGTGATTCTCCCATTGGACATGAACCATCTCAGAAGACCTGCTTCTGACAGTGCTACTCTGAGACCAGGAGAAAATGAGACCAAGCAAGGCCATTTCATAATTTTGTCTAAGCACAGACGAAAGCAAGGTATACAATTCATGGAATACCAAACACCCCATGTCTTGGCCAAAATTAGGATGGCTACTTCACCAGTTGCAGCTTTATTCTCACTCTAGTCTCCCCTCTTAGTAGATTAGAGCCCTTATAATACCCAGTCATAGATTTCCCTGCTTTCTAACAACATCCTATCTAGAGTGAATCCTGCTTCCTTATACCCTCCTCCCTCAAGCCAGCCAGCCAGAGCCCAAATCCTATAAGCTTCTCCTAACACCTTCTGGGTGAGTCACCCATGGTTTCCATGCTACCTGTTCTCCCTCGCTGCAATGAAGACTAAACTAAACGTGTTCAATTCCAAGCAACTCTCTGTTCTTTAGCTGAAGCATATAACACTATGTTTACACATTTCCACATGCATATGTGTTTATGTGTATACAGTTTCAAATACTGTGTATGCGTTTTTATAAAATCAAGATAGCTAGAAAATTCAGGCGGTTCAAGCTCCAAAGTGCACTTTTGTGCCTTAACTGTATATAGAGAGAAGCCACCACAATCAGATGAATCAGAGAATCAAATAATTACCCATTGCTGCCTGTCAGCCTCAACAATCACCTTGTACTTTACAGAATCTTAATAACTTGATGTCCC